ACCCCCCCCTGTGCACACACACGGGGGGCGAGGACACACGCATACACCCCTGTGCACATGGGGGGACAAGGACACACACTCACACAGCCTCCTGTGCACACACATGGGGGAGGGGGACACACGCACACCCCCCTGTGCACATCGATGGGGGGCAAGGACACACGCACACACCCCTGTGCACATAGATGGGGGGTGAGGACACACGCACCCCCCCCTGTGCACATCGATGGGGGGCAAGGACACACGCACACACCCCTGTGCACATAGATGGGGGGTGAGGACACACGCACCCCCCCCTGTGCACATCGATGGGGGGCAAGGACACACGCACACACCCCTGTGCACATAGATGGGGGGCGAGGACACACGCACACCCCCCTGTGCACATCGATGGGGGGCAAGGACACACGCACACACCCCTGTGCACACACACAGGGGGACCAGGACACAAACACACCCCACTGTGGACATAGATGGGGGGTGAGGACACACGCACCCCCCCCTGTGCACACACACAGGGGGACCAGGACACAAACACACCCCACTGTGGACATAGATGGGGGGTGAGGACACACGCACCCCCCCCTGTGCACACACACAGGGGGTGAGGAGACACGCACACCCCCCTGTGCACACACACAGGGAGACCAGGACACACGCACACCCCCTGTGCACACACACGGGGGGCCAGGACACACGCACACACCCCTGTGCACACACATGGGGGGAGCCAGGACACACGCACACACCCCTGTGCACATAGATGGAGGGTGAGAACACACGCACACACCCCTGTGCACACACATGGGGGGCGAGGACACACGCACACACCCCTGTGCACACACACGGGGGGGCCAGGACACACGCACACACCCCTGTGCACGTAGATTGGGGGGTGAGGACACACGCACACACAGGGGGACCAGGACACACACACCCCCCCCCGTGCACATAGATGGGGGGTGAGGACACACGCACCCACCCCGTGCACATAGATTGGAGGGTGAGGACACACACACACACAGGGTGGCCAAGGACACACACACACCCCCCTGTGCACATAGATGGGGGGTGAGGACACAGGCACACACCCCTGTGCACATAGATTCGGGGGTGAGGACACACACACACCCCTGTGCACACACACACAGGGGAGGGGGACACACGTACACACCCCTGTGCACACACACGGGGGGACCAGGACACACGCACACCCCCCTGTGCACATAGATGAGAGTGAGGACACACACCCCTCCGTACACATAGATGCGGGGTGAGGACACACACACACACACATGGGGGGCCAGGACACACACACACACACACCCTGTGCGTGCACACACACATGCACACGGGTTGGGGGGGGACACACATGGACCCCTCTGTGCACACGCGCACACACACACACGTACACGAGTGGGGTGGCACTCGCTGCTGGGTGGGTGACACAGGTGACACTGGGTCCCCAGGCACCCAAAGCAGGGAGGGGGTGAGGACACACGCACACACAGGGGGGGGGTGTGGGGGCAGCTCGTACCCCACATCCTGCCACTAAAACTGCCCCAAAACCCCCAAACTGCCCCAAAGACGGGGTGATCGGAGCAGCGACAGGCAGCGAGCCCTTGACATGGGCTGGTGCTGGCGTGAAGGGTTCAAGCCAGGCACTCGAGGAAGCCTCTTGGGCTCCCTTTGCTCTGTGCACACACACGGGGGGACCAGGACACATGCACACACCCCTGTGCGTGCACACACACACGCACACGAGTGGGGGGACACACACACACATGGACCCCTCTGTGCACACACGCACGCGCACACGTGCACATACAGGGTGGGCAGGACACACACACCCCCCCGTGCACACACATGGTGGGGCCAGGACACACGCACCCCCTTCCGTGCACATAGATGGGAGTGAGGACACACACACACACCCCTGTGCACACACACAGGAGGACTAGGACACACGCACACACTCCTGTGCACACACATGGGGGTTGAGGACACACACTCCCCCCCACCCTGTGCACACACACAGGGGGTGAGGAGACACGCACACCCCCCTGTGCACACACACAGGGGGACCAGGACACACACACACACCCCTGTGCACACACACAGGGGGTGAGGAGACACGCACACCCCCCTGTGCACACACACAGGGGGACCAGGACACACACACACACCCCTGTGCACACACACAGGGGGTGAGGAGACACGCACACCCCCCTGTGCACACACACAGGGGGACCAGGACACACACACACACCCCTGTGCACACACACAGGGGGTGAGGAGACACGCACACCCCCCTGTGCACACACACAGGGGGACCAGGACACACACACACACCCCTGTGCACACACACAGGGGGTGAGGAGACACGCACACCCCCTGTGCACACACACAGGGGGACCAGGACACACACACACACCCCTGTGCACATAGATGGGGGGTGAGGACACACGCACACCCCCCTGTGCACATCGATGGGGGGCAAGGACACACGCACACACCCCTGTGCACATAGATGGGGGGTGAGAACACACACACACCCCCCTGTGCACACACACGGGGGAGGGGGACACACGCACACACCCCTGTGCACACACACGGGGGGGCCAGGACACATGTCTGGAGTGAAGGGGAAGATCCCTAAATATACCGAGCCCTGGAGCACGGCCACATCCCGGGGGTTTAGTGAGTTCTAAAACCCTGAGAAGTGTTTTCGACCATCCTGGCACCGAGTGGCTTTACCCCGTCTCTGCCCAGTGTGATTTTTATCTCCGTATTTATTGACATAAAGCCAAAAGCCCTGAATAGTTGGCTGGCAGCGGAGCGTGGTGCAGACCACGCCGTCGTCCCTCCTTCATAGAATGGTTTGGGTTGGAAGGGACCTCAAAGACCATCGAGTTCCAACCCCCCCATTACCCATTTAAAGCCTTAACGGGACCGGTCCATGAAGCAAAGACCCTTTCTCTCCCACGGGATGCTCCTTATGGAGGAGCAAATTCTTCCCCAACGTCCGCCCCATGTGGGTTTTTCCGGGGTTTGGTGCTGCTTTGGCTTTGGTGTAACTGTCGGTGTCGTGGTCGAGCCTGATAATTGTGTTATCCCCAGTCTCGGATGCTGGTTATCTCCCAGACGGGGAGAGGGTGTTGGGTTTTGGTGGGGGGAGGCGGGGGTTGTGGTGTTGATGAGTGACTCCCTTGGGTTGGGCAGGAGGTTGTTAGGTCTCTGGGGAAATGGCGTTTTTTTCGCACACCCCCCTGTGCACACACACGGGGGTCGAGGACACACGTACCTCCAACCCCCTGCCAGAGCAGGGCCACCCAGAGCAGGTCCCACAGGAACGTGTCCAGGCGGGTTTTGAATGTCTCCAGAGAAGGAGACTCCACCACCTCCCTGGGCAGCCTCTGCCAGGGCTCTGCCACCCTCACAATATAATAAGTTCCTCCTCATTTTTGGTGGAACTTCTTATGTTCAAGTTTGTGCCCATCATGTCTTGTCCTGTCCCTGGGCATCACTGAAAAAAGACTGGTCTCATCCTCCTGACACCCACCCTTTAAGAATTTAGAGGTGTTGATCAGATCCCCCCTCAGTCTTCTCTTCTCCAGACTAAACAGACCCAAGTCCCTCAGCCTCTCCTCAGCAGAGAGATGATCCAGGCCCCTCAGCATTTTTGTAGCCTCTGCTGTCCCCTCTCCAGCAGTTCCCTGTCCTTCTGGAACTGGGGAGCCCACAACTGGGCCCAGTGCTCCAGATGGGGCCTCCCCAGGGCAGAGCAGAGGGGCAGGATGACCTCCCTCCACCTGCTGCTCACACTCTTCCTGATGCCCCCCAGGATGCCCTTGGCCTTCTTGGCCACCAGGGCCCATTGCTGGCTCCTGGGCATCCTGTTGTCCACCAGGACTCACAGGTCTTTTCTCCTCAGAGCTGCTCTCCAGCAGGTCACCCCCAACGTGTCCTGGTCCATGGGGTTGTTCATCCCCAGGTGCAGCACCCTGCACTTGCCTTTGTTGAATTTCATTAAGTTCCTCCCTGCCCAAGTCTCCCAAATTTTCCCAAAATTTTACCCATTTTTGTAGGATAAAGCAGAGTTACCAAGAGCAAGGGACCAGCCAGAAACCAGTCCCACTATCTTCTCCCGCTCCGACCATCCGGTGAG